CCCCCCCCCCCCCCGCCCCTATCTCACCGCCCGCGGTGTCGCGCAGGGCCGCCAGGGCAAGCCGCGCCTGAAGCCGCCGTTCCCGGCAAACGTTGGCGTGTTCGGCTGCCCGACCACGGTCACGAACGTTGAAACCGTGGCGGTTGCGCCGACTATCCTCCGCCGCGGCGCGAGCTGGTTCGCGAGCTTTGGGCGCAAGGTAAAACCGCGTGTGTTTGAGCATGCATGTGTGTTTTTTTATTGTTAGCATCGACCACGCTAACCGGCTGACCAATGAAAAGACGTCAGTGTCTCAGTGCGGTTGAAAACACAACATGCTTTTACGGCCGCGTTCTGGGACCCCGTGAGGGATCGTCATGGGGGAGACTAATATGTTCTCCTGATTGAGGAAAAAAAACCGTAGCAGTGTACAGAACGTGTGTGTGTGTGCTTGCATCGACCGCGCTAATCCGCTGACCAATGAACAAAATGTCAGCCTTGTAGCTTGTTACCTTGTTTTGTTGGCCATCTCGCCCTTATCGTTTGGGCGCGAGCGAGGACCTCTGTTTCAGTCTGGTGGTCTTGCCGTTGGGACAGTCGTTGCACAGGCAAGGTGGGGGGATTTGCAGCGGGAACGCGTGGCCCCTCTCGTTGGTGATACAGTACTTGCCTGTGTCTCTAGATAGGGATTCCCGCCCTCGATATTATTGAGTCCCATCCGTTCTTTTGTGTTGGCGGGATGCTCTTGGCGCAACGTGGCTATTTATCCCTATTCTGGAAGAAACTGTATCACAATTGCCGCTCTCTCCGTACAACATTGTCCGTGTCTTCTTCCTCGGGAAGCAACAAAAACACTGCTGTACCAGGAACGCAAGTCGTGATTCGTTGTGGTGCTTACCCGGAAGTGGCGCTGTTCGACAGTTGGCTCTACTGCACCTCCGCCAGTAGCCAGAGCCAGTCACGTGTACGTGTGCAATGTCCCGCTTGACCAATACTCAGTTTTTTGTGACTGGAAGTTTGCTTCGGTGGAAGCAGCTCCAAGAATACATGGCCTTGCTGATGTTTCGTGTCTCGCATACGCGGCTGTGTGCCATCAGCACCTCCGGTTCAGCCAAAGCCTCCGTCATCATCAGTCGCCACCATCGATATCCTTGCTCCAGCTTGTCCTTGCACCGCTGCTTAACAATGCTCCGGCCTCCCGGGGACTCTGTCAACTGGTCAAACACAGCTAAGGCATGCGAAACACGAATACCCCCCCGCTGTCCGTCCTCTCGAGGGCGCGTGGTCAATGGTCTAACCGTTAAGGCATGCAGAACATGAGCCCCCCCCCCCCCCCCCGCCCCTGGTGGTCTCCCCTGGCCTTTTTTTTCCCAAAAAACCCCCGGCCCAAACTCTTTTCGATCTTTGGGCCCTTGAAAAAACCCCTCTTGGGGGAAGAAGAAAAGTTGAATACCCTTTAAGAAATTCCCCA